CAGTCTGCGTCTAGGTAGGCGAGATGACTGGATCGGTGGCAGGGCATGGGACAGAAGGCCGCTTCTTCTTCCTCTTCCTTTTTTTCTTTTCTGTCTCGTCGGCTCCCTTCGGTGTAAAGGCCGGCGGGTCCTCGACGGTTTGCGTCCCGACTTCTTTAGCCAAATTCACAGGCGCTATTTCCGGCGCCCGTGGTTTGTCTACTGCCTCCGCTGAAGCTTCAAGGGGGTTGTTGGCCGGCGGAGACGCTCTTCCGTGTTTCTCCCTCTCCAGGATATCCTCCAGGCACTTCGTCGCGGTTTGCACCTCTCTATGCACACCCATACCTCGTCGTTTGTCTATGACTCCTCGAAGCATAACCACTTGCGCGCCTATGCTCTCGATCATAGACGACGTGGTAGTCGCCTCCTCCAACGGGTCGTGCCGCCTCTTGCGGGATGGCCGCACCGAACTCCTCAGTTCACTGAGGGCCTGACGCCAAAGGGAGATCTACTGAACGAGATACTCCAGGTGGGTGCCCGGGACCTCGTTCATCAGGCTCCCCTCGACTTCCGCCGTTCTAGCGAGAGCAACAACGTGGTTGAGACCAACATCGAACGTGGCCTCGTCGTCACTGTCACCTTCCTCCCCCAATGGCGCCCTCCTTTTGCCAGGATGCCGCAATGGGGGAGAACTCTCCGGCAACGGACATCAATCTCAGATCTCGCTGGACCGATTTTGATGAATAATATATTGTGATAAGTAAATTACTCTGTATATTTGTACAGAACACGATATTTTTTTTCATAAGAACCGTAGAAAAGTGTACCATACGTCGATTTCAGTTTTTACAACTTTGCCATATTAATCGTATTAGTCAAGTCTGATTTTTCATTTATCTTTTTACAGCTTAGATTTTTGTTGTCAGATTTGTCTTATGAATATTCCATTTTGTCCCAGATTTCTATAAAAACATTCTATATGCGTTTATGAAATTTCATCGTCAAATTTTTGATAACTTTCATAACCTGCACATAGTATTTGTTGATATTCATTGTGATATTAATAGCCTGTCGATTCCCCTGATTATTTAGATTGTTTAGTGTTAGAACTTTTTACTATATCATCATGTTCATCAGATGCATAACCGTCAATAGAAGATGAACCTCTCCAAATTTGCTAGTCACTTATGTTAACCAATAGGCATGTATTGTATGCCTATTGGACGGCGTTTAATTTGTTCATATTGACATACAATATAAACAATAAATAATTACCCCACGCACGTAACTAATGGTTAAAATGGTATTTTTAAAATATAAACTTCTTTATAGAAATATACATAGTTCGTTTAAAAAAATTTAAAGGCACTCTAAGGATTAAGTAGTTACCCTGTAAGACCAACGTTAAATTTTAGATTCAACTACGATAGTAGAATATTATCAAATCAAAGTAAATTTGATAATTTTATTATTAAAATAAAAACAACAGTTAGGACCAGTTATAATAGATTTTAGTACACACTCACTCTATTTATGTATTTTTAAGCTGTAATAAATAAATAGTCAATCGGATAAAAAAAAAATATAAGAACAAACTAGTTTGTGAAGTTTTCTATTATATGAAGATAAAAATTACAAGTAGATAAATAAATAAAGTGGGTATTAAAAGCGAGTGGATTATACATACATCAATATGAGTTTATACCTACTCGAGCTTTTTAGTTTTCATAATTTTTATATGATAAATTATAAATAAAAAAATTTTGTTATTAGAACAATTAGGAAATTATGAAGACATATATCGACAACTTTATTTCCCCGATGATAATTCAAGTTATATAAATAAACATTATAGTCATAGTTCGAGTGATGAAAATGATGAGATGAATAATGATGACAATAAGGATTTTGAAGTAGCAAGTCAGAAATATTATACTCCTAAATATCTAGTGGATTATTTACTTTATGAATAGTTTTTAAGTTAATTTAATTTATGTAAAGTTTATTTAAGTCTCATATACAGTATTTAGAACACAAATTTAAATATAGTGTAACATGTATATCTAGATAATTAAATAATAAATAACAATACATTAATAAATTTTAAGGTCAATTAATAAAAAATTATTCTGGCTAAAGGTGTGTTCCGAACAACTGAACGAAATTTATAAATATGTGGCCTAAGATTAGCTATTCTAGATGTTGATTGAGCTAAAGTCCGTATAAGTACTGATTTACTAGCCCTAGATTAGCCAGTTACATAACATAAAATAATAGGTGCACCTGATCCCCACATTTTCTAAGTACATTAGTTACATGATAGAGAATCATATATTGACCTTCATTCATACATTTCACTGGGTTTATAAATTGTTCGTCATTAATTTTATATACGTTAAACATATAATTGATTTCTTTTTTTTTTTTATTTAAATTACCAACTAATTGCCATTATCTTTAAAATCACCTACAACCAAAATTATCTTATCATATGAGACCCAATTATCTGGTAATTATTCTCATTAATATCTTGTTGCTTTTTAACGTTATATACATATATCTTTTTCTTTAATTTTATTGAACTGATAATACATTTGTTGAATTTATTTCAATATTTTTAAATTCGATGCGAAGCTTAAAACGTATTAATTTTACTATGATGTATGACACGTAATCCAATAAGGGTACGGGGCACGAGTGACGCTATAATGCACTACCGCAGATATATATATGTATAACAGTATTAAATATTTAATACGGTGTATGTAATTTTAAGCCGCACGAATTAATTATTAATTAATTAATATAAGTATATGCCAACGACAAGTATTTAATATATAATATATATATATATATATATTTTTTTTTTATTGCGAATCGTAAGGCCACGCAGATTAATTGCGATCGTAATTAGTCGCAATTACCACTAATAAAAAACACAAACCGGAACCAATAATATCAACCAGTTAAGGTATACGTCGGTAACAGAACAGAACGCAATATCCGTAATCCATACTGGGCGGCGGCCTTATCTCGTTGTCAAGGGCGGGAAGACAACCGATGACAATCGATTGTCATATTAATAGCTCTGTACGGCTGATATCGAGAAAGACACGGGTGAGCGCCAGCCTAGAGCAAAAGACGAAGCCGTGTCATGTGTTTTTTATTTTTGTGTCTGTTGTCATAATTTCTCAACTCTCCCTGGACCGATTTCTTTCAACGATACGTCAAAAAATCAGTAATTTTAACATTTGATTTAGCTTAAATTGCCAATTCTATCAATCGATGAATGCGACGAAGTTGGCAATTCAGTTAAAATCATTGCCTGTAGCGATGATTTTTTTGCAATTTTCCCTTAATTCTTTTTAAGTAAGAATTTTGCTTTTGAATAATTTACCAATTTATTTAAATAAAACATTATCTACAGATTGTCCTTGAAGCGTTTTTTATGGTAGTGATTTTAATTACTGTTAGATATCATCTATTCTAGACGCAACTATGACACGATCTGTGCCGTGACCCCACTGTGCTACTGACGTTTTATCTGTTTATCTACATTAAAGCATTTATCAATTAATTAAACTCTTTTAGTTTTACTAATTAATTTTTATCTTTCACTATTTTCACCATTTTGTATAACTTAACCTTTTTCTTTATTCTTTTTTGTTTATTACACAATAAAAAACATTTAAAACATTGTTTATCCTGATCTTATGAGTTTATTACAGTCTTTCTATTATTAATATCATGCGATAAATCAATATACGTTTAACCGGCCAAAGGCTGATATTTGTATATATCGAGTAAAAGACAGTAAATATTTGCAAAAGAATTACTACCTTTACCTGGAAAATTTACCCATTCTACTAGTAACTTGGTGTACGAAATATCTACGACATGATTGATATCATCTTCATTAATTAACTCAATCGTTGACGTCTTAAATGACCGATTTTAAACTTAGTTTAATTATTTGAAACCTTATAAGACCCCTCGAGTTTAAGGTTGAAATTTATTAGCCCCATTTCTTCAATACACGACCGTAATTTTTTAATTAATTCATCTCTTGTTGCATGCTAAAACGATTGATACCCGACTATGTTTTCAATATTTTTTGGATATTACCCTATGTGCATACGTTGACTTTAACATCTATGCGAATACAATTATTGATGAAAATACGACATAACAATAAGAGATCTATGCGATGTCAAAATAAAAATTTTGAAATCGCCCAAACATAGTCAAAATTACTAATTTACGATCTATGTTTGTGACTTCGCATAGTTTTCATTACTTGCTTAGATCCCAAACGCGAAGTCTAATTATATTATAAAAATAGTTATTAAATAAATTCCCACACTAAGTCACTATAAAGTTGCAGAGAGGTCACGATTGAGATCTAAATATTGTCCTTATCAAAGATGACCAACGACACGTGTAAGTATGACTGACGCCAGATTCCCGTGATTTTTTGCTCTATTCGCTTTATAACACGTCTTAAACAAGTACTCTTTCAACCATCACTTTTTCTCCACGCGCTTCTGTGTAAACATCTTTTTTGAAAATTATGGAGATCTCAAATTTTAAACAGGTAAATAGTAAAATTTACTCTTAATTCTTTTTAAACCTTAGTCAATTATTCATCCTAGTAAAAATCACCATTATTAAATTTACGAGTACAGCACTTGATTTATATGTGGGAAATATGATTTATTTCAACAGTAAATTTACAGTATAACAAATAATAATTTAAACTGATTAACTATAAACAATGAACAACGAACAAAATGAACAATTTATGAAAATGATAACTGATGACTGATCACTGGACACTGTGGTTTGATGATTGATAACTAGGAGCAACGGTCCCACTTCTTATATAGGCGGTAGAATGTTCCAGAACAATCGACCGCCGAAGAATCTTCTAGAGGCGGCGGCGGTCGAACGTTCTAGAACATTCGGCCGCCACATCACCCCCCTTCCAGTAATGAAATTACGATTCAATGAGTAAACTGTTTCTATCCCGCTTGATAAAACTGTGTGAAGCGCACTCTTCTTCCTGAACGTGTTGTACGGTTGTTGTCGGAGTGACTGTCCTCTGGAAATGAGTCGTCGGCTGGTTGCTGGTTTTCTGGTTGCTGGTCTTGTGGTCGATCTTCGTGCCCTTGTAGGTCATCGGGGCTGTCCCTGGTCACGTATGCTGGTTTCAGTCGATCAAACGATACAGCTACTTCTCGGTTACGTATTTTGATGACGTAATAGCGAGGGTGCCGTGATATGACTGGGAATGGACCTTCGTAGGGGTTCTCCAGCGGACCTTTAGGTGCATTGCGGTAGGCCAGAACGTGGGATGATGAGGCCAAATCTTTAAAAATGAAAGTTGGCTTATCTCCATGCCATGAAGTTGGTTGAGGCTTCAGCTCGTTGAAGTGTCGGCGAAGGCGGTTGACGTAGACAGCTGGGTCGGAGTCTCCTGTCGTTTGTTTCGGGTTCACGAACTCTCCTGGCAGACGTATGGATTCTCCGAAAACCAGCTCTGCTGAGGTTGCCTGAAGGTCTTCTTTCCATGCAGCTCGGATGCCCATTAGGACGATGGGTACACGTTCGACCCAGTCTACGCTTTCGTGGCAGCGTAGGGCTGATTTGAGTTGCCGATGGAAGCGTTCGATGATGCCATTGGATTGAGGGTGTCGAGCGGTCGTTCTTATGTGTTTTGAACCGATAAGCTTAAGGAGCGCATTATAAAGCTCACCATCAAACTGTCGGCCTTGGTCGGTTGTTAACCGTTCTGGGACACCAAATCGTGAAATCCACTCCCTGAAGATGACCTTCGAAACGGTGTCTGCCGTGATGTCTTCTAAAGGGTAGGCTTCTGGCCATAGACTATGCCATAGACTGTACTTCATTCGCTCATTGGATGTTTAAACATCCAAAAAGTATCGAGGGCGATACTAAAACAAACTTTTGGTTGAAAAAATACCTACATGGAATGGATACTCGTTGCGGTGACGTTGAATACAATGAGTTGCCGAGAATCATGAAACTGTTGCGGTGCGAGACCATTTACGTGAAAGGAGCTGTGAAAAAGCGAGTAGTGGAAAAGTACATACCGGGACAACGTATAGTCAACGTCGAGGATTTGGACTGCCCACCGCTGTACAATTTAAGTTGTGTTACAAAAATGTGTTGTATCCGACACATGAACAACCCGACAGTGTGTAGTTTATACAAGGCAATCTGCTTAAAACAATGGATGAATTATAATATGTAACATTATTGTCAAAAAATGATTTTGCAATATTCTCATTTGTATTCGTACAATAATTATATTTTCCCTAAATAAAATGTATATTAATGATTATAGTAAAATAAATAAATATTTCTAAATTACGTGTAGTATTTACTATAGGTTATTAATACCTATTGTAAAATAATCTATCTGGTATTATCGAAATAAATAGAGGGTAATTACTTTAATTAATTAAGCATTTATTATAATATCAATTCTAACTTACATTTATTTACAATTCAATTCATTAAAATATTACATTAAAAAATCTTAAAACTATATTTACAACTATATATTTATATACAACACTTATATTTACAAAAACCTTATCATAAAATTCAATTACACGGTTTATCATACAATATATTTTACATTTATCAATATGGATATTTAAAGAGTTTTACAATCTTATTATTACTATAAAAACTAATGTTGCTTAAATTTCTTCCGATGGAATGGCATAATGACCGTAAGCCAGCGTGTCAACTCTGTTGTCGAGCGTGTAGCGCTTATCGTCGAAACGGTTAAGCGCCAACTTGGTTGTACGTAAAGTGCGTACCTCGTGCTCGAAAGAACGAATTGACACGTTCTGTCGGTACGGAGTGTACGGTAATGATAATGTCGGTGGAATCTCACCATCACGTACGGCTCCGATGACTACACGGGCATTGTCTCCGGCCAACGCTCGTTTTGACGCATCGTCACCATCGTCGCCATCGTCTTCAAACAAACATCGTTTGTAATCGTCCAAAGACAGATGGTTCCGGACGACATGTCCGCGGATCCCCTTAGACTTGATGAATTCGCTGCCTTCCATGTCAAATGCATAGCACTTTGAACGAAGTGCAGCGATCTCAAAGAGGGTGAGGCCGCCGGTCTCGTCTGAAAACAGACCAGGCGTCTTCTTCCTCGAGGTCGAGTAACAAGGGTGATCCTTGGGCAGGCTAGATGCGTCCACGTACACCAGTAAATCGGGGCTGTCGGCTAAATCCTGGTAGAAGTCGCTGACTCTGAGCAGGTATATGAAGGAGTCTGAGAAAAATTAAAAATATATAAATATTGTAAAAATATTTCTACTGTACGGTTGTACTCACCAGTATCCATGTAAACCAGGCTAATTGCGTCGCCATAATGAGGTTTTAATACGTCGTAGAAGTACTTGTACATTAGCGACTTGCTAATGTCAAGCACTGCTAAACCGACGTATATTGGTTTGAGAAACTTGACAATCTTTGTGTCCATTATGACGGCGCACAACCTTTCGCCGTATTTAATACAGTCGTTGAAGGTTGGTTGGTTTACGAGCTTGCTTAGACGTTCGGGACTGGAGATTAGTTCAATGCGGATGCGTTTCCGCATGTTCTCCATGGTTTTCCCTATAAAATATAAATATTTATCAAATAACTCACTTTACCATTGAGCGTGCACTTACCAAAGACGGCATTATTCATTAGTTTGAAAAACGATATTTCAAAAGCATTTGCCGCCTGTTTCCGCATTTCAGTGTTCAACTCAATGTACGGTTTCAACCAAGCACTTTGTTGAAACTCTAAAACGCGGTGCACCTGCAGTACAAATATTTATATTAGTATCATCGTTTATAGTTTATAGGTTAATTATACATACTTTATCGACTCGCAGTCCGTGTGCGATCGCCTGTTTAAGATTAACGTAATGTACGACGTACCGCTGTTTGGGTTTCAAAGTGGCCATGAGTTTGGTCTCTTTGGAACCCGGTGGTACATCGTTGACAGGCAAGAACGGCAAGTCGTTGTGCTCGTCATGCAGCCCTTCTGGATACGATAAATCGACTTCATATATACGCCCCGTATTACCAGTGTCCGAAAGCAATTGGAGGTCGGCCAGAGGATCTGATCCTTCATACCACCGGAAGCCACCGTACGGCATGGGCTGACTCATAGCCCACCCGTAAAGNTATGGGTTGACTCATAGCCCACCCGTAAAGGTTATTGCCTATATACATTAAACGTTTTTAATTCACAGTTCAATTATTGTACTTTTATATATAATACTTACAATCTTGATACACGATCCATGAGTTTGGTTTTGTCGGATCGTAGCCAGG